CTTTGGAATTTTCCAGCATGGCCCCAACAAAGTTGCATTAAAACATGTTTTCTTCGACATTCCTAGTACACACTGACCAGTTGCTGTCGTATTCGTTGTGGTCTTCATCTCTAATGTTTCATTCCAGCAGCGAAAATCACTTTTGTTGGTTAATTTCTCGCAACAAAGTAGTTCCGAGTTTGTTTCGAGATGCGGATGGGGAAAAACGTCGAGAACCAGAATTACAAGATAGACGAAAAATCTTGATCTTCTTTTCTCTTTCATTTCTGAAAGATGAACCCATAAGGAGAGGTTTGAGAGAGTTGTCTGAAATACGGCATCTCACATGACAAACCTTTTTTGAAATACAAACGTTCAGATTAAACACGATAATTTAGGTGACCCTCATTATGCACAAACTGCGATTACCTTTCCAAGTCATTAGGGGCTAACAAAATACTAATCCTTGATTCGCTAAAATGTACTTAAACATATCTCATGTCATTGCTTCTACTTCTGTTGTCTCCGTCTTGGTGAGAAAGATTTTGCCACTCTCAGAGACCTTTCCCTTTCAATGATACGCACTTACTTTAACTTTACAGGAAATGGTAAATCATGTTCAAAGGGTGACGTAGGATGTAGGCCTAAGTTCGAATGAGAGCTACTTTCTTTGTCCCTCTTTTAAATTAGCATAAACGCGGTATTTCATCCCTATAAGGTCATATTTAATTTGCCCAGCAGAAGAGCTTTGTGAGATTTGTCGCACACAGTGGATGTGTATCTACTTAACCTTTCTTTCCTGTTATCACAAAGGGTTTCGATTTAGTTTGGATCCAATTCTATTTAAAAAATATGATATTTTGAAAGTACTTTGATTGAACTATGAGTGTCTTTATCAGACGTTGAGTGAACTTCACGAAAAAACTAAATAGGAGTAAAATTTTGATTTTCATTTGTTTATTTTTGAGAGGTACTCACGCACAAATGGACAAATGAATTTTTTAAATCAGGTCTATGACTATGGTGCCATATTTTGTATGATGAAGCTGTTTATTTCGCACTAACGTCCTGATTTCGCAATCATTGTCTTAAAGTGATAATCAAAGCATCCTGTTAATCACAACTCACTCTTGTCGTTGAAATTGTGTTTTTTCGTTTGCCAAGACTAAAAAGGAAGAGGGTTTGTAATCAACCTGATCTGTGATAGTAGCTAAATAGTGCGGCGCACGATAATAATAAATTCAGTCTTGGGAAACACGTACAACTGCATATTTCTCTTCGGTACTCTGCACTAATTTTCATTAACTCTTCATTAAATGTAAGGCCATGCCAGTTATTTTTTGTGTTCCAAACCATTTCACAAGAATTAGTCAAGGACAGTTTGCCCTATATGACCAGAAATGTTTAAGTATCGAGAAATTTTTCATGTACACAAGCGCTTATGAAGAAGAACAACATCGAATAAACAAGTCATGTATATCAAAGAAAACCACTTTGTGGAAAACACACGTTAAATCATTACGAACTCACCTCCCAAAGACATAAACAACAAGTATAAAGAAAAATGCGCTCACTTCTGATTTAGCATTAACCTAACTTGTACTTACATTACAAAAGATGTCGTCCATTGAACGTTGCGATTCAAATGGAATAAAACAAAGGCTTTTCTGTTTCAAATTTTAGGCTAGTCAGCTTAAGGTAATAGAAACAAGCCAACGAATGGACTACATAACCTCAACCCATCAATAAAAATAGGTTAAAACTAAGTAAATCCTGTCAAAGTATCTAACTGTCGAGAGCTGCTAAAGATTTTGAATTACTGCAGTTTTAATTTGAACAAACTAAAAAATATTTTCTAATCATTCTTGGAATCTTAATGCGGTTGGCCGTAACCATTGGTCTTGCTGTACATAATTAAAAAAAAGGGGAATTACTATAAACTCTGACTCATCATTCAACCACCGTTCAAGAGTTCTATAATTTACGCTTTCAGAATTTATGCGTCCGCTTCTCACTTTGCATATTTTGTTGTTGCTGTTCTTTCGGACTAAATTTTGTCTGTTAATTGAAACAACCCACATGCTGTGCGTAATAGTTTGCTTAACACCTTACCTCAAAAGCTTTTCCGTTCGAACGTCGAGGGTTTCTACTTCCAATTTTAATCATTAAAATTTAAAAACAACATTTTGAATGTGAAAGCGATTCTCGCAGTGATGGGAGCTGGTCATTATGTTGGTTCGTAATAAGCCCGTCAAGTGAGAAATCAATGACTATGACTGTATGAAAATCATATATGTGAACTGCAATTTAAGAAATGAATATCAAAGCGATCCTCGCAGTAATGAACACTACTTAATATTCACTTA